CTATTGGATTAGAGTGGAATGGATATAAAACTTTACTCCACTTAAATTTTATACTCGAAACAAACATGCCCCAGTGTATAATTTGTGTTACGGAATCGAAATGTCCTTTTTGGGGTCCCATTATATTGTCGAAAAATATTTTTAGTGTCGTAGCTTCACTTTTTCAACCCATAAAAAGATACTATATGTACATTTTTCTTATTTTGTAATTTTTTATTTTTTAAATCTCTAATTATAGATCATTCGATTCAAAATGAAGAGTCGAAATTAATGGAGATACCATACCTGAAAAATAAGTTTGTCACTGTCGTAAATCATATAAGAATGACAAGATTTCAATAATTTTTAACACGAGTTGTTATTTAAGAATGACAAGATTTCAATGATTTATAACATGAGTTCTCATTTAAGAGTTTCGTAAGAAAAATCTTGATTAACTCAATATTTTTATTTTCCGATGATTAGTAGCGTCTTAGCAACAATTAGTCTAAAAAAAGTACTTGTACATTGGTACACGGAAACTGCATGCACTTTCAAAAGTTGACTCGAGTCATAGCCCAACTCTTACTCCATAGAGGAAATTTTTTTTTATTAATTTCAAAAAATAAATAAATTACACCTAAAATGGAAAAGTAATGAGCCGTACCCCTCAATCCAAGTTTCAAGGTAAAAATCATCTCACATAAAACTAAACTAAAAGTAGGTGAGAACGATGGGTGACGATAGATTGCAACTTGCAACTGATAGACCATGGAACAAGATTATTATTAATTATCAATAGGTTTAACATTTTATTTATAATTATTTTGGGCCATGACAAAGTCGGTAATGAACACACAACTCATGACCCTACTCATTGGACTAACGGGCCACCCATGAACCTCCACATGACAGGCCAGCCAGACCCTTGGCTCCACTGGCCCCTGGGCTTTTTGAGTCAGGCGATGGGCTGGGTACCTCTTGTCAAGGCTCATTGTCACCGATAAGTCACATCTATCTTAACTATCTATTATTTTAATTAAAACTTTTCCAGAAAAAACCATCGCATTATTAAACAAAATATTTTGCACACGCATGACATGTGCCACGAATTTAAGTAACTCAAATTTACATCACAAATGAAGCGTGACTATTGGATCAATGGGTTCTATTTAAAAAAATTAATAGGACTCACTCATTCAATAATCGCCTTTATAAATTTATTTAATTTACATAATATTTTCCCACAAACTTATATTCATCGAAATGGTTGTTGTTAGACACCCAAAAAACAACAAAAAACGCATCCTCATAATTGGTAGACCAAACTTTGTGTGCTATTTAGACCAAACATCAAATGTGGGCCACGGACACCAGTTGATTTCTCCGACAACCAAGAAAAAATGCTTCTTCCTCTTTATATTCCAAGGTCAATCTTATCTGTCCTCCATACACATATATATACTATAAAGCCCCACTACTCATTGAAGTTATGATAATAATCCCAATATGGAAAACATCAATGGGGATTTCACATATAGTGGTAGGGTCACTAAACCACCCACACTTTTCATGTCAAAGTTTTAGGTAATTTTATAATACCCAAAAAAACAATATTATCATATCGTATTGAAAATTATTATTTTTTAAGATCAAATTATATTTTTTAAAAATAAAGTTACGATCCCTTTGAGATAATTTATGATCGATCGGGAATAACCTTAAGTAGTTGTGACTTCACCTAACATGGTTATACACTTTTTATGATAGTTTCTAATTTATTTTTTAATTTGCCGTGGTTTAAAAACAACGCTTTCAATATAAGTCAATAAATTTGGGGCTTTTATTTTTTAATTGGGCCCTAAAGCTCGTACTTTGGTGGCCTTTTATGTATGGACCGGCCTTGTACTCCACCTTATGCATGTTATGGAGTAGTTGTACTTGTGGCAGCTTTGACAAGGAGATGTCATGCAATTCCGCACAAGTCACGTTGCCAAACAGAAACATAGAATCTCTCTCCAGTACTGAAGCAAACATCCTAATCCGATAAAAAATTGAAAAGATAAAAAATTAGAAGGATAAATAAAATATTATATTTAATAAGAAAGAAAAATATGAATGATGAAAAAATTAATAAATTAATTTTCTTTCTAATTTACTAAAATCAATCTCCCCAAAATTGGAAAAAAAATGGATGAAAAGTTAATTATTGAGAGATAATGGGATATGAGTATCTTTTCCAAAATTTATTTGGCTTTAAGTACCACCTCCAAATTTATCCTCCTTTAAGTCCTCTTTTTCATCAAATAATTGTCAATAAGTACACATTTTTAAATTCTTTCTAAAATGTATTCCATAATTACCCCTATCACAAATAGTGCATACCTACTTGAATGTAAGACTTTTAAGATTCTTTTTTATATTTGAGTATCATTTGAATTTTAAAATTTTATGTACACACACACACACACACACACACGTAATACAGTGACATGAAACAGTGACACGCTTAAAAAAAAAAAATAACATCAAACGGTGACACGTTCAACAAAAATATTTGAGTTACTGTTTGATGTTACTATTTTTTTGTTGACTGTGTTATTGTTTGATGTTACTCTTTTTTTGTTGAGCGTATCACTGCTTGATGTTACTATTTTTTTATTGAGCGTGTCGCTGTTTCATGTCATTGTATTACGTGTGTGTGTGTGTGTGTCTATATATATATAATATTTCAAAATTCAAATAATACACAAATATCAAAAGAAATCTTAAAAGTCTCACATTATAATCTTGAAAATCTCACATTTAATTAGGTATGCCCTATTTATAAAAGAGGTAAAAAGACTTTTATGACTTTTTATTAGCATATGTATTTCTATCCCAATTATTTTAAAAAATGTACTTTTATCCTATTAAATTTTTTGAGAGGTATTGGCCTCCCTAAGCCCTTTAATTATTTGTGTTGAGATGTATTGAACAATAGGGCCGTTATGCCTATTATTTGTGTTAAAGTTCAACCTTTGATCAAAAAGATATACTTTGATTATATTTCATCTCTTCAATAAAATTTAATAATGACCATAACGGTCCTATTGTTATGATGGAGAGAAGAATTTTTGATTAACTTTTCGATATTAAAAAATAAAAATATAATATTAAAAAAATACATTTCGATACTGTTATAAAGGATTTAGCCTCAAGATATCATGTCATCTTGTGAATCTCTTATCCAAACATGATTTTTGTGTCCTATCTTGTCTTAGTACGAAATAAATAAATATCAATAATGCCACATCTAGCACATTTCTGGTCCCTCTCAATATCAACCATTAGATTAGTAAAACTATAAAGTTCAAGGAATATTTAATGTTTAAAATTATTATAATTAGTGCTTAAATTTTTTTTTCTTTCTTCTATATTTGTGATTTAATTTTAAGTGTGAATACAAATATATTCACCATTTTTTTTTATTACTCCGTGCACTCAACAGTACACTTCGTGATTGATTTCCACTTACTACAGATTCGGAACCCCCCCCCCCCCCCCCCCCCCCCCCCCCCCCCCCCCCCCCCCCCCCCCCCCCCCCCCCCCCCCCCCCCCCCCCCCCCCCCCCCCCC